CGTTTTTTTTCATGAATTGCCCGTGGGACGGCACGTTTTTCTTCGTAGAAACTTAGTAATTTTTGAATAAATGAATGGCTACGGTCAAAGTGTTCAAGAAATGCAAGATACGAGTATACGAATCTCGAATCTTTGACACAATTTAGCTTTTATTGCTCCAATCTTCCAAAACCAGGTCATTTTTTACCAACTTCTTCCTCTGGAGGCAGATTTGGCTGAAAATTTGTCTGCCGGGGTAGTTTGACCTCCTAAAGATCATTATTGCATCCCCTTGGCCCAGAATGTTCTTGAACTAATTTTATGAAAAGAAAATGAAACAATCGCGCAGATTTGAGTTATATAATAACTGTGGGACAGCATTGGGCGACGCCGTTCCACAAGACAAACTTTCTGTCGTCCACCATTGACGGAAATCGTCGTCACATTAAGTGGATATGATATTCTTGTTAGGGGGTCGAACTACCCCTAGGGACAAATTTTCTGCTAATTTGGTGATTAACGGTATTTCGGCGCCCAGAGAGGAGCAAGCTACCCCCCAGGGACACGTTTACGACAAACTTGGCTGTTCGTCCATCTTTATTCTTAGATGATACTGGCAGACACCATTGTCTGCCATCGTCGTCAACGTGTTAACCATGCGCGCAGTAATGCTCGTCAACCAGACTGGTGTGGCATAAATGGCAAGAGGTCATTCGTAATGGATAGACACTCATTTCGGTTGTTCATCCTAGGATTCCTTGCGAAGATCCAGAATGCCTGTCTTTGTTCCGCTCATGTGTTGGTGGTTTTCTTGGTGATTCTCCTAAGCCAAAGACGCTAGGGTGTCGAGGCGTTTGGCGGTCTAGTGGATGCAACATCCAAACCTTGAGCTATGTTTAGGCCTCTGAGGACGACGATCCTGTCGAAACGTCAGGCCATTTATAATAAAGTCTTCCACCTACCAACCTCTTTGGCAGAACAAATTACAACTTAAAGTTCTTTTCGTAGCCTCAACGTGGCAAGGGGGATATCAAGCGGCCTGCGGAGGGGACCGTGTTAGAGCCTAGTGGCTACGCGTGGTCACTTCATATGAAGAGAACATTGGTGGATATGGGCCTCTTTCCTCTAAACGTGAGGGCGGCGTTCGTTGAAACCGCTCGGGCGAGGCTGCAAGAACCCCAGGGCGAACAGATAGTCAAGTCGACTAGGAT